TTTTTTTAAAGATAGAGTGATTCAAGAGGAAGGTTTATATGTATAATATATGCATAATATAATAGGGAAACACTGATAATTTTAGAGGTTTCTAATGTGATGTTGTAATAAACACATTTTTTGCGCTTACATTGCAAACGCTGGCTGAACCCTACGAGATAGATCAAAATCATGCACTACAATATTGAACATATTAAAAGAGTCTACAAAAAAGTCCGGGATGGTACGTCTATCTCTTAGGGATAACCCACAATAACCATTGTTATCCTTTACTTTTTATGAGAAATAATGACTTATTTACGAAGCGATTGTAGGTAATACAGCACTAATTCTTATCCAATTAAGTACCTTAAATACATTGTGCATTTAATATAGATCAATATGGCCCTTTACAGCATGTAATTTAAATGAATATTTTCGAAGATATTATAGATTTAAAATGCAGGGACATAGCGGTTGCGGCGGTACCGGCCGGTTTGTATTGTCTAATGACAAAAAAACTGTGAATGTTGTAAATTAAAAGTTTATAAAACCGTCGACACAAAAGATATTCCAAAATAATTTAACCAATACAAATTAAAATCAATTAAAAATTGATATTTCACTACAAATAGTAATTTGAGGAAAAATAAATAAACTTGGACTGAAATAATGTACAGGTTTAGAATACAAATGTTTTTTAAACTTCTTTGATTGTTTGTAATGATTAAACTTGTTTGATCGTAATGAATTATAGTTGTTTTATTACACAGATAAACACGTTAAACTTATAGCACCCCCCTTTTGTGACGGGGGTGGAAAATACATTTCTATTAGTAATATTTCAACTGCTATTAAATATGCATAAATATGATACCTAACTGTACTTTAAAATAACAGTTAAAGTAGCCTATTTACGGATACATTTCTCGTTTAATTCTACAAAAGTTACCTTCTTTACAATTCCATACGATTGTCTCGCCTTTTCTTCTGTACTGAGGGTCTTAATTCTTCCTTCAATTTTCTTCCTAATAACCGCCTTTTTCGCCTTTACCGTAGCCATTACTTGAGATGTCGCACTTCTTATGAATGTTATCATTTAGAAAAATTTTGTGTTCGACTTAAATAAAATACAAGCTATCATGTGATTAGACTCGTAATAGTGCATTGAAGACTTTGATGTAACATATATAGTAGAAATGACTGATACTTGACCATATTTCTCAGTAAACAATAGATAACAACGAACTGTTTTGCATTAAATTCATAAACAAATATGTGTACATCGGTTGCAAGAGTTCTCCGTTTTAACAATAAATTTCCAAGAAATATTTCAATAAATTTATTACGTGGCCGTCTGATAGTTTATTACAGTTTTAATTAAACATAGTTATTGGAAACTATCAAACTTTTTTAATTGTTAATGAGAATGCTCAAAATATTTATACGACCAGTTGAGTCTAATTAAATTTGCTTGATTAATGTTTACCTAAACCTATAACATATGGCTGAAATGTACGTATATGAAACCAAGTATACACCTAGATTACACATTTAGACCTGTCCGCATTTTCCCAATTGTTTATTTCCAATGGGAAATTGCTGATTTTTAATTGAAGTTATATAATATCGTATATCAATACGTTAATAAAAGTTTACTGTTTTTAGGGAAAATAACGTTCAGTCCTTTGTTGTATTGTTTATAATATTTATGAACCATTACATTTTTATTTTAAGAAAAGCGTTTTTCAGTAGATATAAAATTAATTTAAATTTTTGTTATTGTTATTATGTACCACTCGTAAATACCCGATATAGCGTTTATCGTCTTCAAGAATGTATTATTTCTTATTTGTAAATGGAAAAAAGTAAAAATTATTCAACGCAAAAGCGATTGTATATTTTAATTGTTATTATTTTTATCTAAGCTACAAAACAATACGCTTTTGTTCACTTTATTTCTGTCCATATTTCGTTTACAAAAATGAGTTGTCAATATTTAATTTTGTCATTACTATAATTGTACCTACTCTCAAATAAAGTCAAAAAATGGAACTGTATATTCCTGCAGTCTTAAAGAGACGTTTTCTGATTTAAATTTTATTTAATTTTGTTTAAAATTTAAATATAGGACACTTTTGAGTAACAATTAACTAAATGATTAGCGAATTGCGTTGATAAATATTCTATTGCTTGAGTTTTATATCTAAAATTTTTAAATATTCGATTACAGGACATCAAAAAAAAGTAAAACTATTTCTGATTTTGTTGCAACTTTTATATACACATAACAAAAGTCGTTTTATTTATTATTTTTTAATTATTTGATACGAATGCGTACAAAATAAGTCTAAATTTTGTTTTTTGACGCGCTAGTAAAGGAAAACTTCCACGCGGTGGCGCTCTAAACCATATACACGACGATCTGAGCTTTGAGCTTTAGTTTTCATTCGGTAGTCGCCGTGTGTACGTCGCTCTTGTAGTGCGGTTAAGCTATACGGCAGTTCAGAAACTTCGCAAGTTGTTTTATTAAGTTAATTCAATTAAAACAGTGGTGTTTATTATTAGCACGTTAGTGAAATGCCGTTTTGGACAAAAAACGTACTATTATAACTGTGTTCGTTAAGACAGGGCAAGGTAAATCGATTATTACTTTTTATTTTATGCACAATGAAAATGCAGTTAATTATGACAAAACTTGCTAATTATTATTGCATTTAATTAATGTGGTATGCAATCTGGGACTTTTATACTTATAGTTATGTACTTACATGTTTTGTTGTGTATATTGATAATATATTTTCGCTTATTTTCTAGCGAATAACTAATATAAAACAGCGTGCTTATTGAGGTTATGAACAAACAAAAACTTGTATCATACCAAATAAGCACCCTGAAATGTAAACTAAATCGTAAGGATGAGTACCCTACGCGTGCCTGTAGTTGAATTGACATGAATATGGCTGTTAGGACGATGATAATATTTGCTATATGCACTCTTTTCCTTTCATTTGTACGGGATCGTGTATACATACATATAATAATGTATACAATTCCGCGAGCAATTAAAGAACACGCTTGCCTTGTTGGAATCGATATTCAAGCACAATAGTGACTTAAATTGTTAATCCTTTATTACTTGCTTTATCATGAATTGTAAATAAAACTCATTTATTTCAACTTGACCTGAATTAGGTAACTAGGTACTTGCTCTAGTTGTAATATTAAAAATTTTGCAGAGTCGCTTAATTGCCTAGCTGTATGTAGGTACATTTTTATGAAATCGACATTATCTTGTACCCTATACACAAGTGATTTAATAAAAAACAACTTGTTTATAGTCAATTTGTTATGTCTACTAAATTTAATTGATTGAATTACATAAAGTAGCTAGTTAGATTAGACAGACAATTTTGCTGTTGCTTCAACTTAGCATTTAAATTGATGAACATCATTTCAAATATTACTTGCGATTAGCATGCAATTTAAAGAGTACCTACCCCCCCCCTATTTATCTATTTTAATAGGGGTAGTGGAAATTAGGATTCAAATTAAGATTTCACATACATGTATGTACATATTCGTTTAATCATAAAATCGAAAATCGAAGATTTTATTCTTGGTCATGCTGTAAAATTAAATATTTAGAATGCTGTTACATTCTGTATTAGGTGAGTCGTATATAAACTTTTCACACAATGTATGCAGGAAAATAGGCTAAATTCAAAAGAAAACAAAAAATCACTCCGTTCAATTTGAAAAACCAAAATAGGACCTTCCTACCTATTATAATACTGGTAATTGTTTTTCAAATACGAAATACAGAATGCAGTCAAAATTTTACAAATATAAATATCTAGCTCAAAAGTTATTATATTATTTTAGATATTTTCAAATACCTTCAGTTATCTTTTAATATAAATAATAATCATGTCCAATAAACGCAATTTAAAACCTTTGAGGGAGAAAGAAATGTGTAATTTCTATATATCTTCAAATTAAATTCGTCATCATCATCGTAAACAACTCTTAGTACATGCATCTCCATTCTTTCTTATCCTGAGCTAATCTTCGCATTTCCCTAAAACTAGAACATCCCACATCCTTAAGGATGTTTGGGAGGTATGTCAGTATGCTACGAGACAAAAATTTGGAAGAACGTTCCTCATTCAATTCTAAAACTCCTGTAAAAATTACAAATCTATTCACTAATCCGTTATATAATCCTATATTTTCACGTCATTTTATGGAAATTCGTTAATCGAACAGATTAAATTTATTTTTATTAACAGAAAAAAAGCTACCAGAAACTTTTATAATGAGTAACATTGAACTCTGGAGAATCACTTTAGCGTAAGGTTATTCAAATTCACTGAATGGTTATCGAGGAAAAAATGAAAAAGTAACTGAAAATCTCCTTTTTACTTGATAATATAATGATAATATTTACAATTGTCGTAAGTAACTTCAACTCTGGAGAATCACTTTAGCGTAAGGTTATTCAAATTCACTAAATGGTTATCGAGGAAAAAATGAAAAATTAGCTGAAAATCTCGTTTTTACTTGATAATATAATGATAATATTTATAATTGTCTGAAATAAATGCAATTTTAAAATTTTAATTATTAATAGAGATTGAAACTAAATATTTTTTTGTTTCGAAGTTGAAATCAAGGCATATTCACTGCCAAAAGTCAGTTAAAAATTTTCCATATTATTCGTTATTTCTTATTTTATTCAAAGTTTTTGGTCAAATTCCAAATTTTCTCTCAAACCGTATACTTTTTTTTAGTATAGATAGTATTTATTTACTTCATGATATGCTGCAAAACCTAATTAATCACGAATTTCTAATTTTATGTACTCTTGTCTCCGATTCTACCTCCCAAACATCCTTAACTATTTTCAAAAATCTCTCAACTCCTGTTTCTGCCTTCATGCCTGAGAAGGTATCCTCTAAACTGTCTCGTCTGTTTCTTATTAACTTCCATAGAGTCTTCTGTTCACTTATTCATTCTAATACCTCTTCATTTCGAACATTCTCTATCCACGGATCCTGTACTATCCCATGCTTTATATCCCCACTACTCCTTTAAAATTATTAAAATAATCCCCATACTGTCTCTTAAAATTAATTTAGATTTATTTGAAAAGCACGTAATATTTTATGAGAAGCTTTTGACTTAATTGGTAGAAAGTTGGTAAATCCGACTTTTTTCTCTCTCCTTTGAATGTTAAGTTAATCGCCATTAACAAAAAAAAAAGAAATAAAAGCTAGAAACGTGTTGTTGCTGAAGAATATAAATTATCTATCTTCATTAACCGAATGCTTTGAAAGCTTTCTGCCCTTAAATGCTTTTACCTTTTAAGAAGAATCAGAGCAGGAGAAAACAAAATTGGAGAGAATTTTATATCAGATCGGTGAAGTCCACACGAATCTCATGAAATGGAAAACTAGAATCAGAAAAAGGAAATGCTTTTGAACGTGATTCAGTCGTTTAAAGAAATGGTTAGCTGGAAAACTGACAAACTTTATTGAATGTAAGCTTAGCAGCGTTTTATTATGTCCAGTAACTTGGCCCACCATTTTTGAAAACGAAAAGAAAACAGTCGTGTCGAATTGTGCTAGCATTATGCTCTAAAGTGCTGTTTTGCAAAACTTCGTAATTAACGAGATGAAAATTGGCTCTCGAATACAATTTTGTCATGAATAATAATCAGTTAGCTACAAAATTAAATTCTTGTGAAATTCTTTTATATAATACCGAAGTTTGGAAGTTTTTCTTGTCCTACAATTTTTTGTATCTTACCTCTAGTTTAGTTACGGAAAATAATTGTGGGATAAGAAAAACTTGAAGAGTATAGCACCCTCTTAATAACCCTTAGACCAGCTGACAAACTAAGTCATGGCCATGATCGTACATTACATGATATCTAAAGTCAAAATACAAAAAATTAATGCGGAACAAGTAAAAATAACAACAGTGTAAACTCTTTATAACGTCTCTCGATTTAACGATAAACTCCTTAAAACGTCGAAATTGCTTGACTTTGGTTGGTTTACATTGTTTCTATACAATATTACACTCTATATAGCGTCACGCTCACTCTATTTAACGACAACAATACGGCATTATAAATCATTAAGCAGTACTTTCTAAGTTGTCGAAATAGATAAGAACTGCAGCTGTG